AATGTCTTAATGAATTCTCCTCAAAAACAACCTATAATAAAAAAAACTTCAAATCCAATTAAAAAATGGCGTACAGAAACTATGCTTCATGAAGAAATAAATAATCCTATAATTCGTAATGAACAAAATTTTAATCAATATGAAAAAATAAAACAACAGCCAAGTATAGCTAGTTGTACATCATTAAGTGATGTTAAATTAATGTTACGTGAATGGATTGAATCAAATGATGAACCAAATCAAATAGATATTGATATATTTCAAAATTATTTAATTGATTTATTAAATTTTCATAATGCTGAAATGGTTTATCAATTATTAATTTATAGTTTATTACAATTAAAAATTGTAACAAAAACTAATTGGAATGAAAAATTTCAGATTTTAATTAATGCTGTACAAAAACATTTTGGTCAAATGTATGGTGGTGCAACAATGGATCTTTCATAACAAAAAAAAATATAATTATATGTATTTTCTTCTATTTTTGTGCTATTTTTTTTTTTTTTTCGTATAAATAAATAATTAAATCTCCGCATGTGAGACTATGATATATATATATAAATATTAAATAGTCGTATGTTTTTTTTTTGTTTATATTTTAATAGAAAAATGAAGCTCAAAGAATTAGAGTCTCATTTAAGTAATGTTGAAAATTTCTCCAATGCTAAAGAATATCTTGAACAATATATGACAACACCACATCTTGGTAACATGAAAAAAAAAACAATTCATTTGTTTATCTTGATTTGTTTTTTTTTTGTCTTATTTAGCTGCTCGAATGATTTATACAGCTCAAACTCAATATGATGATATTGAAAATCATTTATTAATTGATTTAGGTATTGGTACAGGAATGTTATCAATAGCATCATGTCTTCTTAATGCTGATCATGTATTTGGATTTGATTGTGATACTGATGCATTAAAATTATGTCAATCAAATATAAAAGAATTTGAACTTGAATCGAATATTGATTTAATTCAAGCTGATTTACGACGTATTCGTTTACCTGTTGATTTAAATCGTATTATGGCAGATACAGTTATTATGAATCCACCATTTGGTACAAAACCATTTTCAAGTTCAACAGAACATCAAGATGAATTATGTTTAACTGGTATTGATATGCATTTTTTACAATATGCAAGACAATTAGCAAGACATTCAATTTATAGTTTACATAAAACAAGTACAAGAGATCATATTTATAAAAAAGCTAAAGATTGGAATATGAATATGGATGTATTAGCTGTTTTACAATTTGATATTCCAAAATTAGAAAAGAAAAGGCCAAATCGTAAAACATCAACAGCTAGTAATGCACCATTGAAATCTATTGAAGTTGATTTTATTCGTTTTGAAATAAAAGATAATACCGATGATTGATATATATTTTAAAAAAAACTCTTTTTGTTTTTATGTTATTAAATATATTTACTATCGAAATAAATTTAAACACAAAAAAAAGTAAACAGAGATGCCACTCGATATCAGTAGAAAAGGATGTATTGTTATTGTGCATTGATTATTGGATAAAACCAAATGATATCATGACATATCGTCCATATTTATCCGCATAATACTCAAGCATCAATTCATTCATGTTTGTTCTGGACATATGTGTAAGAAACGTAGGATGAAGGATATATTTCTATCATTGCTTCTGTTCTTTTCCTCTTTTTTGTACTACTTGTGATGTGGCGAAGTATATGGAAGAAGAAAGAAAAAAAAAAGATATATACAATCCTCCTACATAACTCGTCCATTTCTTTGTCGATTTGCTGAATTAACGGGGAGTTAGTTCGCTTTACTCGTTGTATATCTATGTCAAACGTTGTCGCCGTTTATATCCGTTTGCGTGTTTTATAAGACAAGAAAAAAAAATACCAACTTCTTTAGATATCAACATTTTTAGATATTTTGCTTACTGGCATTTTCTTTCATCTAACATGAATTCACCTATCACAATTCGTCTCGAACGTGAAGCAACTGATCGACCATGGGGTTTTCGTCTTCAAGGTTAGATTTTGACTTTTTTTTTCTTCAGTTGTATTATTCCTTGTTTCTTTTGTTTTTATTCAGGTGGTAGTGATTTTTCTATCCCATTATCGATCCAATTGGTAAGTGTATATAGGAAAGTCAATGAGCAAATTTTAATACTTGTTTTCTTTATACTTATTTTTGATGTACTTTTTGTATTCAAGGTTAATCCGGACACACCTGCTCATGCAAATGGTTTAAATGCTGGTGACCAAGTTATCGCCATTAATGGTCGAAATGTAAGTCATATTAGTCATCAAGAAGCTAAAATGGAAATAACACGTTCGGGTAATGAACTGGAATTAACTGTTATCAAGTAAGAATACTAATCGTGATAATATGATGATTCTTATCTTTTTTTTTACTTTTATTTTAGAGGAGTTGTTAATCAACAATCTATGCCAACACCTCAACCTATATCTCAATTAAGAACAGGTCCTGTACATCAAATGCCTACACCACAAGCTGTTAAACCTAATTTTGCAACACCGAGTCAGGTATAAGTTCTATGAGAAATTGTAATCAAGTTATTATTATTATTTTTCTCTAATAAATTTCTAGCCTCAAATGCATATTGGTAGTAGTCATAATCGAGCAGCAATGCCATTTGATGCTCGAGTTGGAAATGAAATGACCTATCAAGCAGCCAAACCAACCAATTGGCAACCAGGTAAGATGATATTCAATTTCGATGACGAAATATTTTCTTATATCTTCATTGTAGGAGATTATACAAAAGAAGAACCTGAACATTTACGACCTAAACTTAGTAAGGGTTATTTCTTTATTTATTTTTTTGTATATAAGTTTTTCTTCAATAGCAAATTTTGAGTCGTCAACAGCTTATAATAAAGATCCACTTCGTAAGTACACACATTATTTTATTTTGTTTTGTTAAGATACACTTTTTTTTCTGTTATTAGAACGTGAAATTTGGCGTCCAAAAGCTTATCGTGACAATCCTCAAGCACCAGCTCGTAATGTTGGCACAGCTGTCTATCATGCTCAGTATAATTCTCCAATAGGACTCTATAGTGATGATAAAGTTTTAGAAGCATTTAAATCTCAAGCAGGCAGTTTAATTGATGATATTAAAGGGTATTTTATTTTAAAAATAACATTTTCTTTTTGCTATGTAATTCGTTTTTTGTTTTTCAAGAGCTAATTCAAATAATAATTCTTCTCAATCATCTAATATATATAATCCTCAACAACAAAATCAACCATCACCAACATATCAAACTTTAATGAATCCTCAACAACAAAATATTCCTTATTCATCTGAAGCAAAAATTTCTCGATCATTTCGTGCACTTGAAGAAGATCTTAGTTCGGTACAAGGAACATCACGAGCACCTAAATCTATTTTTGATCAACGTCGTCAACAACAACAGCAGCAACAACAACAACAACAACAACAACAACAACATGCTGGTTTTCGTAGTGTCAAGCCACCTGAAGAAGTTCCACCGGAACAACAACGACGACCTTATCATACTGAATATCAAGTTGAACATGTTCAACAAAACTGGATGGAACCAAAAAAATAAGTAAATGAATCCTTAACGACGATAGATTTTATCGTAAAATCCTTTTTTTTTTATCATTGTACTCTTATTGGTGTGCAATAGAACTTTCTTCAGCTTGCTCAGTCGTCAAAACGTTGAATCATTTCGTCTTTTTTTTTTCTTCTGCTTTTTGTTTCTTTTCTACATATTAATCTTTCTCTATCAATAGCGATGAACACATGGTGCTTTATAAAACAAGAACATAAAACGAAGCTACTTTTCATCGTCGATTTGATTCTTTTCTCTTAGTTTTTTAACCTTTTTTTTTCTTTTTTTTCTCGTTGAATAATGTAAATTTTGTTCAAACGAAAAAAAAAACATTCTTTATTTGAGTTTCTTTTACCTATTAAGTATCTAAGTTACATAATGTAGCATTTGTATTGTTCAATTTTTTAAGTTCTTTTTTAAAATTAATTGCCCACCATTGAATGTGTGTGTTAATTAAATAAATATTGAAAAAAAGCAATTGGCAGATAAAAATTCTACATAAGCGATAGCATTTGTCTATTGCTTTACTAGTGATCTGTAAACTCTCGTCATTGTTGACATAACTGAGTGTGTTTTGAATCAATGTTTGCATTTTGTACTGAAAAAAAAGTTACCATTTCAAACATCGAAAGTTTTGTTTTTGCTTTATTTTAAACGCACAAGAAAGTAAAAGCCAACTATTCTATAGTGAAAGTAAACTATTCTGTTGTTCTATCTTGCTAACTATCATAAATCATGAGGTATGGGTAAATATGTATATTCATTAATTTATTTATTTTTTGATATTTATTATACAAAATTAATCTTTAGTTATGGAAGACAACAACCAAGAAAACTACGAGAAAAAATTTGGGCTTATGAAGGTGATTGGCAAAGAGATATATGTGGTTGTTGTAATGATTTAGGTTCATGTGCGTTGATTTAATATAAAAAATTTTAATTTAAATATAAATTCTTCTTCGTTTTTTTTTTTGTTTTGAAAGGTTGTTGTGCATATTTCTGCTGTCCATGTTTTTGTTGTCAAGTATTTAGTAGAGCTGGTGAATGTATGTGTACACCATTTTTGTGTTGTTGGCCTGATGCTTTAATGTCACTACGTATGAAAATTCGCACTGGATTTCGATTACAAGTAAACAAACAAAAATAAAATTATTTTTTAAGATATAGATTTTGTTTCTGTTTTTTAAGGGTTCAATATTAAAAGATTGTTTGGCTTCAATATGCTGTCCATGTTGTCTATTACTCCAAATTAATAGTGAACTCGAATATCAAGGCTTATAATAAATATGTAAAATTAAATCAAAACATGAATAATATTAATAAGAATAATAAGAATAATGATAAATACACCGGAAGGATAAAGAACTGATAAATAAATTACAAACTAAGTTTTGGTTTTTCTAGTCACAATCATCTTCATTTATTATGCGCGGAATACAATATTGTCCTCTTGTTGTTGTTTTTAATTTATAACCTCGATTACATACACATCGTCCAAAAACTGTACAATGAGAATTTTTATCCATACTAGCACATTGTCGATTAAGTAAACAACGTGCACGAAATGTATTTTGCATATTCGGATATGTTGTACGAATTGTTGGTGTTGGTGACCATGGCCACCAACGGAACATAGTTGTTGTCGAGAATGTTGTTGTTATTGTTGTTGTTGTTGTTATTATTGTTGTTGTTGCTGTTATGATAGATCTTGTTTCAATTAATTCTTCATCAGATGATTCTAAAATGAAGAATAATTTAGTGAGATAAAGAAAAATGAAAAACAAAACAAACAAATTTTATCTACTACCCGGTTCTTCTAAGCATGTCCAATCATCCACAGGAAAATAGCCTTTTGGACATGCACAAATAGAATATATACAAATTGCATTTGGTGTATGACAATTACGTTGGGTTAAGCATTTTCCTCCTAATAGACTTTTATAATCAACTGGTATTGGTGTCGGTTTTGTTGTTGTATCTCTACTCATATCTATTGAAATTCAATATATGTATATATACTCGACAAAAACAAAATAAATTTTATAATCACCTATGATACAAGTATATTGATCAATTGGTATATAACCATCAACACATGCACATTTTCCATTGTAACAATGAGATTGAGATACGGCTCGTCGGCAAAAATAATCATCGAAACATGTATTACCAATCTTACCTAATGATTTAATCACTTCATTATTTATTGAATGACGTGTTGATGTTATACTGAATAGACTAGATATTCTAGTTGAATCTTCTATAGTCAATATACTTTAACATGTATCCTAATCATTATATAAGTATCTTTAGAATATATTACCTTGTCTACGAGTATTATAACATAAATTTTTTCCCATAGGTACATAACCTTCTAAACATACACATACACCTTGAATACATTCGAGATGAAAACTAATCTGTTGACAATCAATATTCGTCGAACACGTTGAACCATATCCAGATGGTACATTTTGATATGATTTTGTAACTCGTATATTTAATGGCACTAATACTATATAGAAAAACTTTTGAGTGATTAATTTCGAATATACTCAAACTAACCAAAATCTCGTATACATCGATAAGCATCAACAGATACATAACCGCGTGAACATTGACATTTATGAGCTAAACATACTTTTGTATCATCAATTGGCATTTGACGACATTGACTGCTCCAGTCACATTCTTCACCCAGCATTCTCATACCTATATTTTCTTAAAATGTGAAACTAAAAAAAAACTAAACTTCAATTATTTTTACCATAATTAATTTGTCGACGATAACGTAATTCATTTTTTTCTACTTTGCATCCATTTAATTCATATCCAAATTGACATATACATTTCATATTAACACAAATCGAATTAACCAAACGATTAGTACAATTCAAATTTGTTTCACATTCATAATCAAGAATATTTTCATATTGACCAGTTGTAATCAAAACGTAATGAATTATTAATATTAAACTGAACCACATATTCAATCTTCAAGACGAACTGAATGTTAAAATGAAATACAGTTCATTCTTTTTTTTTGTCTTCAATGATACAAAACCATCATCCTTGAAATTTAAGTTTATCTTTATGTCTGTCGTTCTTTTTTGTCAGGTGGTTAATCTTACTTTCAAGGCCTATCGATAAATGCTCGAACAAAGTTCAACATATTCATTTATCGTATCCATATAACATTGCTGTCGAAGATCAATAGAACGATGCAAAAGAAAAGAAACATTTACTTAAATAAAATGAAATTATCATTATCATATAAAAGTAGATTGAACTGAATATTATAAGGTAATTCTTAATTTCCCGATTTATAATCGTCAATAATTACTAATGTATAACATAAACGCACTGAAAAAAGCAATATGTAAAATAAATAATGAAAGAAATTCCTTTCGAACTGTAAAAGGAAAAAAAATTTACAAGTTTAATATATTTGCTGTTTGCAATTTTATTTGATTACCATGAAAAGTATAGAAAAATCACACAAAAACTAAATCTAGAACTTGAATATTTATTAGTATAGTCTAACTAATTTCTCATTACACTCAGTAATATTTCATTGAAAATTATCTTGTAAAAAAGTATGAATGAGCTATGAAAAGTTATGAAACTCTTTTGTTCTCCAGTCGTAGCTGTATTTATTTCCTTAGATTCATAGGTTTGGTTCGCTTCAGTCGACTATTTTGTGCCTAATAAATACGGAAAAGATTTCGTCTGTTTATTCTTCTCTATGCATATCTATCATTAACTATAATTTAATCAACGATTACTGCTAAGGCGAAAATGTATTATTAGTTTCTCTTTATATTTAGTTCTAGTAGCTTTACTAAAAAAGAATAATAGAATAACCGTCATCTGCTTACGTCAAACTAAACGCTCAAAACTCTTCGATAATCTTGAGTTAGCTTTTGTGGCTGAGTTGAACAGACCACGAAAACTAGATGGTATTCAAGTTCTATTCGATGGCGAAAATCGATTTATCGTTTAACTATCTCAATGTTAGTTCTATATGGTCAGTTGTCCTGACAACTAAAATGAACAAAATCAGCTGATAGAATAGACTGATATCTGACTTTTGTATGCTAATCTTCATTTTAATCCTCTTAAAGCTTGAAAAACGACAAAGTCCACAAAAAGATGGACTCATAATAAACAACATCGTTCGTACTTCCTCATAATATATACTTTTACGTTATATATTTTTTTGTCATTTTCATTATGAGATAACTTTGATTACTAAAATCAAATCTTTTAATGCATTTTATACTGTTTATCACGTGACTGATCTAACTGAGACATAGTTACGCTTTATATCTTCAGAAAGATTAGGTTATAGATTGTTTTCACGGAAAATACTTTATTCATTTGCTCATTTATTTAGCGGATGTATATAAAAACTTAAGCTGTGTTTGTTCTCTGCTAAATGATGTATGAAGATATGAGAAACAATTATTCCTTGGCTTTCTTTACATTCGGATATGATTCATGTCGCATACCATTAATGAACTCCAATCACGAATATCACTTAGTTCTCTTCTACAATGGTAGTTGTCCACTTTGAATTTCATCTCAATTGATAAACAGAAGTGAGAGGATGTTTTTCCCTCTCGAAATGCTCGAAATAGCTCTATGCCAAGTATTACTATGTATATGTTTAAATGATAGAATAAGAGTGTGATTGGGTGTGCGTGTTAGTGAAGAGAATAGTCACACGCGAATCATAAAAAGCAAACAGTGTTTATACATATCAGCATGTATTCGGAAGACTTTTTCTGTCCAAAAATAAATCAACAGTTTTTTCGTTTTCAATTTTATTCCTACAATATAATCACAAACAGTATCCGTTCACAGTAATAAAAGACATGTTGTATTTTGTAACAACAAGCGCTCGTTTCAATACATTTCTTCGGACGAACTGACGAAACATTTTAACAACGTGGTTCAATTCTACACTTCGGTATGGGAGATGGTTTTTGTGAAAAATCGAAGTACTATTGTTTCGATTTAATCTGAATAATTACTGCCTACTGTTGGAGTACAAGATGATACAATTCGAGGACCGAGCAGCTTTGAGTCGACTTGATCCAATCTCGGTCATTGAACGATCTCTCAATATGTTTTTGACTAAATGTTAATCGGAAACTAATCTGGAAAAAGAAAATGTACGAAAAAGCATAAGTGTAGTATGTTTCATTGCCTTGGTTATAGGTCGCTGTATACGTGAAACCCAATGACAAATAAATGATTAGCGAATAGATTATGGCACATCTCCATAGTAAACTCTGTGACACATTTTATTTCAATGTATGGGTTGAGCACAATACGAGAAATCAAATTTATCTCTGATAGAAAATATATCGTATTCCATTGTATTAGTATTCCAAAATGAAGATCATGAAAAAAAACCGATATCATTTCTCTCACTCAAATGCTTTCTCTCAGCGCTTGTATAAGCCATGTTCACGACCAAGATCATATGATCGTGTATAGCCGTATTTTCGTCGTGTACACTCACAATAGAAACACTTGCAAAAAGAAGTAAAGTTTATGAAAAACCTCTTTTTCCGTCATGACAAATTTCAAAATTTTTTATTACATCAAAAATTGAATGCTCTAGAGAACTGACTCTTCAGTATTCATTCAATGACAATGATCTTTTGTATATGATGCTAATCTTACTAAGTCTATAGCTTTTCGCGACATTAGATATATGTGATTCAATGATCATGGAAAGAAATAGAATGAATGTAATATAATGAACAGTATGCCATTGATTGTTAATGCATTTTAATTGATTTCAACTCGTCAACACGATTTAAGAACATAGATAGATAGTGACAAAAATCTCTTCATGAAATGTGTTCACATAGAAAGAAAGGTAGAAAAATGCAATATTATGTGTCTTTAGTAGTTCTTTAGTTACAGATTTTATCATCATATTTTCGCACATTGTACAGACACGTACAGAAGAAAAACCGATATCGCCAATAATAAATATTGTTTTGTGTTTGTTTTTGTTTGGTTCCCTTCTTGTTTCGCTGTTAATGGACTCTTTTTTGCTGATCTTTCTTGATGTCATAATTGCATCTTCAAAAAAAACTCAAAAGAATCATGTAATCAACATATGTTTAAGTTGTATCAGTTTTAAATATGAATAAACAACATTTGAATATGGTTTCTATATGAATCGTAGAAATTAATGAAAGAAGAGCAATTAATAGACAATAAGAAAACAAAATTTCTTTTTGTTCTACACATATTTCGAATGAATATAAATCAAAAATCACTCTAGCAAAATCGTGAGTAATGATGTATTCCTTCTGTACATGATAAGACTAAAGCCATTACCTGCAATTAGGCAGCTCTTAAATTATCGCAATGCTTATTTAGTAGAAACTTATGTGCATTTCTAGATGAAATTTGGATGAGAACTGATATAAAATTTTTTCTTGTTTTCTATACCAAGGTGTAAAGCGTTCATTAAATTGTTTCGTTCATGTTTGAATTGGTAATCAGTACTGTGGTCTTTCATTATTTTCAAACATCCATTATGCAAATCATCATTACTTTAATCACCATGAGGCACAATATATATCGATGAGGGTTAAACTCAATGACAACAGTTGTTTTATTTCAATCATTGGTTAATGTTTAACAGTATATTCGACAAGTGAGAACTGTTGTTTAATTGTTGTCTTAATTAAAACTAAAATTATATTTCTTCTTGTTTCGTTCACATGAACAGCATGTGAATCATATGCATAATGATAAAAAAAATCAAACCGGCACTGTCTTTATTGTCGTTTGCGCTCTTGTTAGAAAGAATCACAGAAAAAGATACAACGTATGAGCCAAGGTATCTAATGCAATGAAACCTAAGTCATGCTTCATATGAAACGTATAACAAAAGTCGGAGATAATAATCATAACATCAATGACGTTATTGGTTTTTTTTCCTTTAATTTATCGTTGACAAGCATATTACCATTGACACATACGTAGAGTTTGTCCTTGATTATCAACGGAAAAAAAAACCATATTCACATTTAACGTCGTAGAAAAATCTTTAAAAAGAACGAGCATTGAATGTATGAAAAGTAAAGGTAATATCAATCTAAACAACAATTTACTCTTTATAATACACGATAATCAATCTAACAACAACTATTCCATTGAAAATGAGTCAAAATCGAAGACAACGTTTGGTTGAAAATGACTTAGTTATCTGGGTGGATGAACGTATCAACATGGATAATGAAGATTGCCAACATACACTTGTGCAATAGTGTGGTTTCGTAAACCCGGTCAATCCATGTACGACAGCTGAACTATGTATTCAACAGCTAAATGAAAATTCTGAAGGAATATCATTTCTTATCTCTTCAGTTACACTTGGACAACATCTAGTGCCAAATATTCATGACATACCGAAATTAA